ACTGTTTTCCAGTGTTTGAACTATTTTTGCATAGACTAAAGCACAAAGCAGTGAAAATCATTAATAAACAATCGTTCGATGGGCTGAATTGCACAAAACGCATGATCGCACCGGCTAGTCTGGTGCGCGTTGCTATTTATCATTTTGATTGGAGGTAGGAGGTAAGGCGAGGAAATCGTCATTACACACGTGTCACACTGCTTCTGGTGAGTTTTTATTGCGGTGCAAGCACAAGCTAGCCTCGCTTTTCTCAGCATACAATTTCTTGCGTATCACCGAAAACTGGTCTAGCCTGTCTCATAATTCCCACAACTGTTTCCACTTCCAACCTCAGACAACGGGTTTCAGCTTTTTCCCAGTCAACACGCCAATCCCCCACCCCTGCTATAGCTGTCCGAGGCCTAAACCAGCAGAGCTCTCTCCCACCCTCAGCTGCTACCCCAACCACACATTCTCCGCACTGATCGCAAGTGCTTCGAAAACCGGGTCGGGGAAGCCACGTTTTAGTAACTTTGCTATCCCATCCAAACACTAAGCTAATCAACTGTTTGGCTGGCTGCCAATTTTTGAGGAATGTGTGAGCGGTCAGCTGCTGCGTGTTGCCCTCCTTTTGGAAGCGTGGGTCTGCAGGCTTGTGCTTTGGTCTGGTGGGGTCTATGTTTTCAGCTTTCTTGTTTGTTTGGTTCTCGAAGTCGTTTTCCCGTCTAAAAATTTTGGTTGTTTTCTGCGGCGTCCACAGTGAGATCCAGACGGGCGTGAGCGGCGATTTCAGGATGTAAGGATTTTTTATGTGTTGTTTTACGTGGTAGTACATACCTTTGATGTTTTCAGGATCCAAGGTGTGTGTCGTATTCGCAAACGTGGGCACAGCAATGCTGGTTGTGTGAGAGGAGAGATGGCTTCGAATTCGTTCCAGTTTATAATCCCTGAAAGGTATGCTTTCTCCCTCTCTCTCCCAGTAACGGTTAGCTTGCTTCAAATCTTTCTTCAGAGGAGCGTGGGGAGCCTGCCATTTCATTTTTTTTTACTTACTTTTTATCAGTATCATAGCGTCGCGCTGACGGGCACCAGTTGTGCTGTACAGGAATTTGTGCACAACTTAATGGGCCGCAATATTCCTATTCATCTGTACACTCATGTGTCATGAATGATATTGGATATTTGTCATGAATAACAGTTCTAGTCGTTTCTTTTTATACGTTTTTTGCTGTGTAACAGCGTTACA